TCTGATTTTCCAGTCATCTTCAAAGGTCTGTAAACATCTCTGTAATGAGTTGAATGGCGCTGAGCGCTGCAGTAATAAAGCCTTTTTAATTCATTATCATGTCAGGCGTATCACAGCTGTCAGTCCTCAGTGCTGAGTTGAATAAGCTACTTTTCCTGAGCATCCTCTTCAGTGTCTGGTCAGAAGCACTGATCACCATCCACTGAACTCCCTTTTTGATCTCTTTACTGTCAGGTTATAGATTGGTTACACATACAGGAAATAAAATGTCAATTAATTATGTTGATTGAGTACGAAAGAGTAACTGGGATTAGAGTCAAGAAGAGATCGAAGAGTCCACTGAACATTTACAGTCCCATGTTCTGTTCTCAGTAAGGTTTATGAATTATGGGATCCTGCATAAAAACACTATGTTCAGACAATGTTAGAGCAATTTAATTTTTCTCACATTGGATTTCTTTGTCTGGTTTGACTGATGTTTTGTATTTCAACCCTGAATCAGTTTAGAATGATAAAAGTCTGGATGAGGATCTAATGACAGATGTGGAGTCAAATCTTATACTTTATTCTCTATGAGAAATGAGAACTTGAACTGAACGGTTGAATAATCTAATGACGCTATGCATGTAATATCATAATCTGTTACATTATGGGTTTAGTAGAAACATTTCCTATAAAACATATAATAACTGGATTTACAGTACATTACAGTAACAAACTTAAAGGGTTAGGGGTTAGGGTTAAATAGATTTATTTATGTTTTTCTGAGGATTCTGGGAAAGTAATCTTTATTTCAGTGCATAAAACACTTGTGAAACACATATAAAACACAAAACAAATGTTCCATAATCTTATGGTTTGCATTTAAATGGTAAAACTAGTAAGTAAATACACATGGCACATCTGAAATATGGATCATGCAGAACATGCAGGTTGCGATGATGGTGCTGTACATCAAATACATACGGAACCTTAAAACACTGGATTTTTATTTGTTATTATATATATCATAAAATATAATAACCTCTTTACTTTATGTGCAAAATGTAACATCACAGTTCACATTATATTCTCACCAGTTTTATGACATCACAGCCAGGTTATTTCAGTTTTAATTACATATGTTTTTGTTATATATGTGCTGTTATCATAGTGTGAGTTTCTACATGCTCCCAGCACCCATACCACAGCAGGGTCGGGAGAGCTCCATGACAGATGCAGGGGCTGGAGACAGAGAGGTTTGTGATGCTGAAGGAGGGAGAAAAGGTTTTGTCACATAACAAATATATTGCCCCTTATATATTGCCCGACTATATTGAAGCTCAGCGTGTACTTCCTGTGATGAGGTTTCGTCCAGGCCAGCTCCGGACCATTTGCAGGTCAGAATGCACCATGTGGATGTGCTCAAATTGGAACCATGACATCACATCCCTTGTCAGCAATTTTGCCTGTGACTCTACCTTAAGGGACAGGGCGGGTACCTTCAAGGTCTGACATTAAAGAACTGACTTTTTATCTCTGATTAATGACTTTAGCCTTTGATGTGCTGACTTCAATGACAGAATTCTAACCTTTCCTTACAATGTCACATTTCAAAATTTTTACTGAATTTCTAATGAATTTCTACTTTTTATTATTTTTACCATGTGGCTCAAATCACCTTTAAAAAAGCCATAATGGATCTGCAATGTAAAAGTCTTTTGATTTTTTTCCTGAAAATTTGTTTCTTTTCTGTATTAAATTTCTTGTATATGATATTTTTTCAATCAACTTTATTTTTGGAATTCATCAATTATCAGTGCTCTCACAAACCTATCCATCTTTAAATCTTATCTTATCTTATCTTATCTTATCTTATCTTATCTTATCTTATCTTATCTTATCTTATCTGTACAGGGGTCTCAGGCCCTTTTTCCTTCCATGGGTGAGAGTAGAGGCTGTTGGATTACAGACCTGTCAGTGACTATTTATTTGTATCCCCCACAATTCAACTCTTCATGCTGTGCACAGATACAGACACACACACACACACACACACACAGAAAAGAGGGAGAGAGAGAGAGAGAGAGAGAGAAGAGGAGGGGAGGTGATCAAAGCTCCCTTTCATTTCAGCTTCAGACCGTGTCCTAAGACCAGGCCTCCCTCTCTGCAGGGATGCGCTCCTTCACCACTAAATTGTATATCTTGTTGCAGTTATTTCTGTCTGATGGCCTCACTCGGTTCCCCTTATTTCTGATCCTACCTTTTGATTGGCCTGATATGCTGAAACAAAATGAGAAGAGTGTTCATCTTGAGGAGTGAACTGCAATAAATAAAGGCTTTCTCTCTTTACGAGTCAATTATTCAGGGGTTGAATCAGAAGGAAAGTGACTTTGCTGAGCGTGGGAGATTGTTTCACCTGTTTGTGTGCAGATCAAGATGCATCAAGATTTTGTGTAAATTGAAAGACATTATCTCTCCTAATGTCAAGATATCGTCCCTCGTTTCTCTAAACACAAATGGAAACAAAGAAAAGATTCACGTACAGGATACAATTAGTTACATGTTATGACAAACGTTTGTGCTCCATGCAGACTAATTCATGGATTGATATGAGGTTTCTATGTTTTCATGTCAGTGTCATCCAGCTCTTAAGTAACTGACTACACTGAAATAAAATCAGCATGTAAAACCTGGCATGATGTTTGATTTTCCTTTGTGTGTTTTTAATTCATTTTTGTTTATTTTACATATTTTTCCTGAATAAATTTTCAATTATTTTAGCAGGTTGGAAACGTATTGAGTTTGGAGACCTCACCAAAAGGGCAAGATAAAAAACAACAAACAGGCAGCAAATAAAACATGTCTGTCCCTAAAACATTAGCCACAGATGTATGGAAGAAATATGTCTCATGTTTTGAAATAAAGTTCATGTGTTCATGCTGTGCTGATGATGGTGTCTCTCTCCAAATGAACAGGTTAATCCTGCTATCGCTAAATGAGGACTCTTGTGTCTCCTAATGGTCTGAGTTATTTTCAGAGATTTTCCCACTCTAGCAGGAATGCAGCCATGATGGAAAACTTAAAGAACCGTCAAACTGAGCGATTTTTCATTTCAGCACATCATCTCAGTACACAACAATTTTCTTTCAATTACAAAAGCCTCTGTGTACATTAAATGTCTGCGACCAATATATTCTTACCACAGAGATCTTTCTCAGCAGCATCGCAGGTGTTTCAGAAACTAAGGTCAAAGCATATTTCTGAACGTAACTATGAAATCAGTGATGTATCATTTTCTAGTACTGACTAATGACTGATAGCTCTCTCACTGTAAAAAGAACACAAGCTCTTTAGCTTTTGTTTGCTTCTTCTCTTTTCACCAGAGAGAAATTATGTGGTAAACAAGTGACATCCAGTTCACTCTGTAAGCTGTGATTTCATTTCTACTGACAAAACTGCAAAATAACATGCACCCTACGTACAGTGGTTCAGTGCATCAGTGGTTCAGTGCATCAGTGGTTCAGTGGATCAATGGTTCAGTGGTTCATTGGTTCAGTGGTTCATTGGTTCAGTGCAGTGGTTCAGTGGTTCAGTGGTTCAGTGCATCAGTAGTTCAGTGGTTCAGTACAGTGGTTTGGTGGTTCGGTGGTTCGGTGGTGCAGTGGTGCGGTGGTGCGGTGGTGCGGTGGTGCGGTGGTGCAGCGGTTCAGTGCAGTGGATCAGTGCTTCAGTGCTTCAGTGCTTCAGTGCTTCTGTGGTTCAGTGGATCAGTGGTTCAGTGGATCGGTGGTTCGGTGGTTCGGTGGTTCAGTGGATCAGTGGTTCAGTGGTTCAGTGGTTCAGTGCATCAGTAGTTCAGTGGTTCAGTACAGTGGTTTGGTGGTTCGGTGGTTCGGTGGTGCAGTGGTGCGGTGGTGCGGTGGTGCAGTGGTGCAGCGGTGCAGCGGTTCAGTGCAGTGGTTCAGTGGATCAGTGCTTCAGTGCTTCAGTGCTTCGGTGGTTCGGTGGTTCAGTGGATCAGTGGTTCAGTGGTTCAGTGGTTCAGTGCAGTGGTTCGGTTGTTTGGTGGTTCAGTGGATCAGTGGTTCAGTGGATCAGTGGTTCAGTGGTTCAATGGTTCAGTGCAGTGGTTCAGTGGTGTGGTGGTTCAGTGCATCAGTAGTTCAGTGGTTCAGTACAGTGGTTCGTGGTGCGGTGGTGCGGTGGTGCAGCGGTGCAGCGGTTCAGTGGTTCAGTGCAGTGGTTCGGTTGTTTGGTGGTTCAGTGGATCAGTGGTTCAGTGGTTCAGTGCATCAGTAGTTCAGTGGTACAGTGGTTCGGTGGTGCGGTGGTGCAGCGGTGCAGCGGTTCAATGGTTCAGTGCAGTGGTTCAGTGGATCACTGGTTCAGTGCTTCAGTGCTTCAGTGCAGTGGTTCGGTGGTTCAGTGGTTCAGTGGTGCGGTCGTGCGGTGGTTCGGTGGTTCGGTGTATCAGTGGATCAGTGGTGCAGTCGTGNAGTGGTTCAGTGGTTCAGTGCAGTGGTTCGGTGGTTCGGTGGTTCAGTGGTTCAGTGGTTCAGTGCAGTGGTTCGGTGTATCAGTGGATCAGTGGGTTGTTTGGTGGTTCAGTGGATGGTTCGGTGTATCAGTGGATCAGTGGTGCAGTCGTGCAGTGGATCAGTGGTTCAGCGGGTCAGTGCAGTGGGCATCAATCTCCCAGTCAGGTTTATTTTCTGCTATTAGTGAATCTTTTCATCTTAAAACGTTCCTGTGAACTTCAACATGCAATGTTCTGCACACATTCACTATTTTAAAGAGCTTCCATATTCCCTTCATTTTGGCTCTACATTAGAATGTATGGGTCTATGATTTTGGTTAATACACCAAAGTGCAAGGATCTGTTGTCACCTGGACTTTTTTTTACTACCAAGCCTCTAAAATTGCACAATTTGGATAACTGAGATCTATTCTTCACTTTTACTCTTTTGAGAAAATAGAATGAATTAACACTCCATAAACTGTGTTTGAAAGTCTAGGCTCCTCAATGCAAATTAAAGTGTGTCCTTTACACAATAACTCCAGGAACCAATATTCTGGAGCTGGGCTCACCAACATCCAGATGATCCACTAAACCCCAAATATCTGGAGCAGTCCTCCAGTGATAATCCTCTGTTTAAAACACTGCTTACCTTAAATTAGTTAACCCAAATCTATGAGTATATTTTACTATTTGATAAAGGTCATCTCACTCTAGTCGGAGGGAGCATTGATCTTACACCTATCCCACAATGCGGCGCATTTATTCAGATTGCTGACATTTTGACCAACCTCCAGGATCAGACCGAGGCTCAGCCTGACCTTCACCCTCAGATTCCCGTGCTGATGGCTTTAACGCTCTGTGTTAACAGTGGTAAACTTGCTCACAGTACAAATGTCCACAAGCTCTTAACTCTCCAGCGGATAAAGACTCATAATGCGCCTCGGTCTGACCTGACACCCAGTCTCCTCCGCCGGGGAAGGTGCAGACTCTGTGTCGGTGACTCCCCCTGGTCCGGTGCCGCCCCCGGCAAGTTTCTTTAAGCAGTGAGTCCTGCCGTCCGACAGGAGGCGTGTCTCCCCTACGGCCGGAGCGCAGCGTTACCAGATGCAAGTGCTGGGGAAGCGACACGGTTTCTCCATAGAAACAAATCAACTTCTTTGTGCTGCTCTGATGACTCTTCCCGGCTCCAGCTCGACCTAAGGTACGCCCATTCTTTCAAACTGTACATTTATTCACATGCTTTTGCTGCGTTCTACTTTTTGTTCACGCGTTACATCTTTTCAGGAGCAGGTTATTTTTATCTTTGCAAATAGGCGAAACCGAAGTAGAATCTGTTTCATGTCGTTTCCAAAACGCGCAAAAAACACCGCTCCGCACCTCCGCGCTCAGCTTTAAAGTTAACCCGTGAGTTCATGGGAGCAAAGCTGCTTTTAACCTGCGCGCTCAGACCGAAAGAACATTTACATGTGACAGAAACAGGCTCTGACTTGTGGTTTCAAAAGCCTTGGAGACGTGACCTCCCGTGTCTTTGCCCGACCTCTATGTGGAGACACTTGTCACCTTTTCGGGTTCCTCCTCCTTCTCCTCCTCCTCGGGCTGATGCCTTCACTCTTGTGGGGTTGAAAGACATTATAGGGGGGGTCGTTAAATGCCAGCCGTGATCCGCTTTATGAATGATCCGGAGATAACGTCTCTGGTTCCCGGGCTGCACGGAAACTAGTGGAGATGAGCCGCGCATTTAAATCTCACAGTTGACAAGAACATTAGCTTTAAATCAACTTCATCATCACGCAGCTCTGCCCGGTGGAGGGGCTCCGCTCAGCCTGTTTAAAAGCCCTTTTCAAATGCACAAAGGGGCATTTGTTGAGCTGTAGCTCTATCTGTAAAAAAGAGCTGAATTTAAAAAATCCAGATGAATATGTTCACTGCTTCCAGCTTTTTCACCAGAATCCCTCAGCACCTCCAGGTCGTTAAGCACGGCTCTCAGAGAACTGCGGCTCTGTGTTGCTCATATTTGTCAAAGGCTGCTACTTTATTCTGACCTCCATGTGAATTAAAACACTGCGCCGATTTAGGCCCACTCATCGAGACAAACAGGTCTCAGATGTCTTTTTGTTTTTTTCTCTACTTACATGTTGGCGCAGGAAAACTGCGGACAACCTCCAACATTTATGGATATTCTGAGAAAAAACCGAGGAATAAATAGAGAAATAAATTTGTTTGTTGCTCTGCCTGTTGTGTCAGGTGTGGTGCTCGGTGCAAATTATGTCCTAATTCCTTAAATATAATTATGAGGATGACATCTTTGTTAAAATCATATTTAACTTGTGCACACAACTCACATATTAGTTCATTTCAGCTTTCCGATAATACTGGGCAGCCTGGCTTGGTAGATATTTGGGTGTTGGCCTCAATTGATGAATGCTAATTTGGAAGCAGGCGGCGTAATGAAACAATATTTAACCTTTGGCTCTCATCATATGGATTTGGTCCAAACAGCACGACCCGCTGCTAATTAAGACAACGAGAAGAGGAAGCTCCAAAATAGAACAGGAGGGATGAGGAGCTGTCCGTGGTGCTGAAACACCCTCAGTGACTGTAGCTGTCCATAGTTTCTCTTTCAGCGACTGAGCCAGTGCAGAGTCGCTGTCCGTTGTCCTGAAAACTCCTCAAACACTCGTTTAAAAAAATCAACTAAATGTTAAGCCGTCCACTCGTTTAAAGTTTGTTTTAAATCTAGAGAAGATATTTTTTTTAGATCACACAAGTGATGATATTACAGGATAAAAGGTTATTGTGTCACAGCGTAACGTTTTCCTGAAAATAAGCTACTATTCACAGCCTGTATCTGAGGCCAGCCTGCCTTATTTTTATTTGCTCCATGTTGAAATTATCTTGGCCTCCATGCGATATATTCTTGATTCTGTCTAAATTCAGAAATTATGCATCAGATTAAACAAACAGGATTTTCCTAAAAACATAACATTTACAGACCTTGGAAATTATAAAGCAATAATCTGTGCTAATATGTCTGAAAACGTAGTAAAACTGAACCATGTGGCTGTGAAATCGTTGTTGAATTTTATTTATCTGTAAATAACAGGTTAGAGGCCACAGTCCAGCCTGTATGAAAATATTGAATTTGATATATAATGAAATTTCCTCTCCCTTCAAACCATGTAAGCACCTTCAGTAATTCAATAGTCATATAAAGGAGCAGGTAGTTTTTGCGATCAGTCAGACACAAATGAAATGAACATTTGATGTTGAGGCTTCTTCTCTAACAGAGTCCGAGTCTGAGGAAAAGTAGAGAATAAAAAAGTAATAATTCCATGAGTGGTGAAATACAGCGGGAGTGAGCAGACGCTATTCATCATGTTGAGTGTGCAGTGACAGGTTCGGTTCACGGAGCCCTCACATGAGTCCAAGCTTGAGCGACTCCGATCAAAAACAGGCGATCTTTTCACATTAATAGATTGCCTTTTACACGGCTGTGCACGACGGCGCTCCGCGACCGGCAACACACACTGAACCTGAGCGAACCGGGAGAAAATCTGACGGGGAACCGGAGAGCGGCGGCCGGCTGGCCGGGGACACGACATCAGAGCGAGAGAGGCGAGGAAGAAGGGAGGGAGGCGGAAGGAGTGGGGAGGGGGGCACAAGACAATTTAGGCAGGCGGTATGGATCAAGGGGCGAAGTGTGGTCAGCAGTAGCCGAGAAACATGCCCGATCCACCCTATGCGCTCTCCCACTACTAGTGTTGGCTCGACGTCAGATGCTGTGCGGCAGTGCAGCAGGAGGAGCTCGGGCTGGCGAGGCTGCTCAGACCGCTTCACTTACTCTCACTCTCACTTGGTCACGCTGGAGCTCCACAACCCTCCGCTGTCCCCCTCTCACCCCTCTCCAATCTCTGTCTGTGTCTTTCAGTAGATGGATTTCCTCAAGCTCTGCCCTGCCTAACATGGATGCCCCGCCACCTCCACCACCAACACCTCCACCATCATCTTCCTCAGCTGAGTCGGAGGGCTATTTCTTCTTGGCGCAGTGAGCTGGACACGCAGTGTTTTTTTGCCAAATGGATGTGGGGAAACCGTTGCCCAGCCCGCCCGTGGTGATCATGCCGTGATTTTGCAGTCGCCTTGCTTCATGTTAAAGGGGTGAAAGAAAAAAAAATCTGGGGATATACCGATTCAGGGAATAAAAACCTGTGCACCACATAAACACCATGAAGATTGCCTCCTTGCTGATGTTTAGTGCGAGGTTCAGGTGCACCGTCAGGCTTCTACTGCTGCTATTACACTGTGTGGGATATTCTCATGGGATGCCACATGTCTTGAGATTTGGTGAGCTACTGCTTCTTTTTCCTCTCATGTCGCCCTAAAAGTTTGATTTGTGTCTTCTCATCCCCATGAAGCATGTTGCTCTCATCCCAACCTGTTGGAGACTCACTTTTCCTCCCTCTCCTCACTTGTAGAAAATAGTTGTTGTTGCTGTTCTGAGAGTTATTCACAGTGTTAAAAGGTTTGTTAGGAGCAATAGCATGAGGGTGATCAGCTGGCACAGACCTGCACTACTGGAACAAAGCTGCCAAAAATAGAGATGAAACTCTGAATGTTCCATAAGGAAGCAGTCGTGTGGAACTTGTTGCTATTTAGAAAGTTTCAAATGTAAAAAGGTTATTAACACCACACCCCCAGGTGTGTGTTCAGTGTCTGCTGGAAGTGATGTGTTTATGAGTTCATGTCACCCACTCTCTCTCTCTCTCTGTGCCTGTGTGTGTGTGTGTGTGTGTGTGTGTGTGTGTGTGTGTGTGTGTGTGTGTGTTTGCGTCGTGTGTGTTTGCGCTTTAATGTGTGTGGGCGTGTGTGTGTGTGTGTTCAGGTGTGTGTGGTAGATGTAGTGATTTCAGATGTGATGCGTTTTATGTGCATTTATTCATGAATTCATATTGTACAGTGTATTTACACATATGCTGGTAGTGTGTGTGCATATGTGTGTGAGAAAAACATTGAAATGTTACTGATTGCAGTAACTGCACTAAGTGTTTTTTTGTTTTTTTTTTGAATGAGATGCATAATTTTTTTATACTATGCCTACATGCCTCATCCATATTTCAGGAATGTGATGAATATTTTATTTTTCTCTCAGGGAAATTTTTGGATGATCATGAACAATAATTCTCTTCTTAAATTTCTCCTTAAGCACCTTTAAAGTAACCTTAAAACACACACACACACACACAAAAAAATATTTCATCACCATATAGAAATACAGTATGTCTGTTCCCGCAGATTGTAGCTACAGTATATGATGCTCTCTCAGGAAATATTCCACCCCAAGCCCACATGTTTTTACGGTTGCATCATTTCAGATCAAATATTATAGTTGTCTCATGTGCCATTTTATTCGTAACATAATGCTCGGTGGGTTGAATCAGCATGTAAATGCTGGGGCCCGTGTTTGGTTAGAGAGGTTAAGGCCATTGCCCTGCATCACATAAAGTGGCTGCAGCCAGAGAAAAGAGCAGAGAGAAGGAAAAACACTGTGGAACGTCGATTATTAAAATGAAACATTTTATTCCATTTATTCCACCTCTCGTGTGTTTTATCAAGAACAGTAATGTGGACACACAAACACATACAACAACTGCAATAACACACACAGATCCACACAGAAATGCACAGATGCTGCTACCCGATGAAGAACACAGATATATTCATATGGACAGATGTAGTTTTCATTTGGTATGGATTGGGGGGAAGCTCGGGCTCTGCTGGGTGTAAGTGAAGTCAAAGGCCCTTTACATGACGGTGATGGCTCCCAGCTCAGAGTCATTCAGTCCATGTGTATGTAGGAATACAGTGGAGTGTGACAAGGGAAATGCTGTGTTTCATTATATCCCATAATATACAAAAAAAACTGATGTTCATGTGTAAAACTGGAATGGCCTTTAAAAGACTGAATTCATTCATTTGTACCTTTGGCATTCTTGCGTGTGGAGGGTCAGCAGTCGGGATGTAACCATGCCAGAAATTCCATAGCTGGTGAAACCAATGAAATCCACGATTCTTGATTCTGATTTCGATGCCACAGAGAAAAAAACATTCCTTTGGGTCGTCTATAACTTCTCTCTGCTGATCTGCATCAAATGCAAAATATCTCCATACATCATTCTTGGTGTGAGTTTTTTTTCCACAAGTTGCTGCTTCACCCCCATTTGCTGCTGCCATTCACTGTGAACTGTGTCTGCCTTCTTTTTCTCTTCTACTTTGATGTCCCTAGATTACTTGTAGGGTCATTAAACCCCCCCCCGCCCCCCTCCGTCAGTCCGGAAAAATGTCCTGTCCCTTCAGTACCCACTGTACTGTACTGCACTGTAGTAGCTATAATGAGTGTATCTTTAAGCAAGACAGTCACACCTTGACTCGTCCACCAAAATCAAAACTGTGCTACTCTAACTCCACCAATAGAAGTTTGTTCTCACAAATGGGATTTCTTCTGCTCCTGGAGCAGCTTTGAGTCCAGCCCAGAAAACAGCTTGTTATTCCAACATTAAAATCCCAGATGTGTTTTGACCATTCCTTTGTAGTAGCCAGTCCTCAAAACATGAGGCGTTTGGAGCAAAGAGATACATGGTCAAGATTGTTATATATTATATTTGAAATACCAGTCCATGGTATAAGTGTTATAAATAAGCAAATTTCAGAGCCAAAAGGTAGAACACAGACCAGGAGGCAGCTGACAGATACATGGTAGTTTTATTGTGACTGGAGGGGATGAGGGGCTGGGATCCAGGCTGGGAATTGGGTGGTGAAGATGGCTCGTAGGCAGACTTAATGGAACAGGGAAGTGGCAGTGTGCACTCAGGTCCCAGCTGGAGACTGGCGAGGGTGACTTGGCTGCATGAGGCTGGACTGGGCTGGGCTGAGCACGGAGCGAACAATCTGAAGCACAGGGATCTGGCACAGACTGAGGGGTTCAGCCAGTGTTTAAATACTGCAGCAGATTGTAGAGTTGATTGACTGATGAGTCGCAGGTGCTCAGGTGAATAGGCAGGAGCCGGGACCAGGAAGCCACACCCAGCTGAGACACACATACACACACACAGGCGGGGACAAAGACAAAACCAGGAACAGGCAGACACACAGGGAATGAGGAAACGATGAAGTCGAATCCTAACATTAAGAACACTGAATCAAGGCAGCAGTTCAGATGGTGTGATTGATCAGCAGCTGTGTGTGCTGAAAACAGAGACTGACATTCTGACAGCCACTGATAATAGAAACCACAGAACTGATTTTCTCGTGGCCCATTGAAGATAAAGTTTGATACAGATCAGCTGTAAACAACCACCGACTGAACCACATTTCATTTCAACACGTCTCTCCGGCTATAAGTACTGTATGACTCCAGCCTGCTGGGTCTGCTGAAACCTTCTGCAGCTTTTTAGTGGCTGTATTGTCGACAGGTAACTGGATTACTTGTGTGGTGGAGAAGTCATATTCAGGGTCACGTCACAGGAATAGAGCAGAATGTATTTCACAAATGCACTCGAGCTGCTGGTGGAAAGCAGACGGTGTTAGAAAACAAGCTTTAACAAAAAAGTTTGGGTCAAGGAAGTGCTCCAACTGTATCCAGACTGTATGGAGAGTCATGGATTACATATGGAACTTTTCATTGCGGCCACAGAGTGATGACACCCACAAGGTTCCTCACCTCCACAAGAAGCAATTTTAAGGACTATTTGTGTATCTAAAAATGCATCAATTTATACTGGCACTTTATGTCTCTGTGATCTCTGCAGAGCGGAGATTGAATTAGGCCGGCGCTTGCTGCCATAGTCAACATTAGTATGAAGGTCACCATCTAATGGGGCAGACAAGCTAAATGTTGCAGGTCGAGGCTAGAAAAACTCCCTCTTTAGAAAATAACTGGCTCCCTGAGAAGCCTGCCTGTCAATAACTGAACTGAAAAGTTGACATTATCCTCCAGGCTCCGGCCCCCGCCTCACTGATGACTTGTAAATAAGGAAATTTGCAGAGAGATGCAAGCTGCTTGGAAACAATGTGTGGCTAAGTGCATCATCACGCAATGGAGAGCATTAGGTATGAAATGGGAGGTGATAATCACAGCATCCTTCAATGAACACACTAATTTCCCTGATAATCTTTTTACTTGTCTTCCAGTTTATCAGTGTAGCTGTGGGTGGAGTTTGCGGAAGACAGATTGGAGATATAATGAACACAGCTGTTAATACCAAAAGCACAAATGTGCATTAATCCACGACAGAAAATAGTCCCCAACAAATGGACTGTTTCCTCCCGTTTGATTGATGTTTGGTAAAAACTGGTGTCCAGCTGTTTTAAGGAATGATGAACCTTTAAAAAAAATGAAGCTATAAACACATATTTAAAGGTTTAATCATCTTCAGTAGGAACCAACAGGGTTGGGGCTGAGAACCACAGACTGGGTATGGATGTCGGAAGGTATTGAGAGACACATTGTTGGTGTTGGTCTTTTCATATAATGTCAGGCTTGTTGTTTAAGACATGAAGTAAAATCTTTTCTGCGATGACATTAATGAAAAAAACATAGGACGTCCCACAGGATGTGATGTCCTCACACCTACATGAAAAAATCATTAGCTGGTCATTACTTCCCTAAAGAACCCACATATCTGCCACCTCTCAGCGCAGTGACCTTGAAATTACGTTCATAGTGGAAAAGCAGGAGGTGCAGTGTTCTTCACACAGAAGCAGCGTAGGTGTCGGAGGTCGCGGTGGTGGAAGAGCTTGTGTCACATCCAGTTCTCACACCGTAGCCTTGAGTCTGTGTAGAAATAGAAAATATTATCAGATATTGGTTAAATATAGGCAACTAAAAGTACTTGGTTACGGTCAGGTAAGCATGTTGGTCACTGTTGGTGGGAGATGTTCTTTAACAACAATGTCATGCTATGTCTGCCTTTGTTAGTCATTATGACACCACCACTAGAGGCTGATGTCATAGAAAATAATATATATATATGTATGTATACATGTATAGATATCTTGTTTCAAAGTTTTTTGAACAAATGACTGATGCTCTTTTATCTGGTGAGAACATTTTTTCTGTGAGACTGGAGCTGTAGCAAAAATACTGTGATCAAAGTAACACGGACACGTGGCACTGTAAATACAAAAATATGTTCTTTTCTGCTTCGGAGGCAAGTGAGCACGTTAGATAAAAAAAACAAGATATTATAAATTGTAGGACCCATGGCCTGTAACTGTCCACTGTTAGGTAGAAGGGACATTTTCCGGTCTAGTTTATGGGCCATCACAGGAAGGGGGCACTGTTCTGC